AAGTTACACTGTACACATGGAGAGGAGTGATTTTCCAACCAAACTGTAAGGGTTACCTTCAGAGATCTTTGTATCCCTGCTGCCCGGCCATGAGTAAGCTTGGAGTAAGTGTCTATAAATGATGGTGGTGATGATGACTACAGTGACCACAATGAAAATGTTGGTTATGATCATTATGATGCCATACTTTCTCAACAGGTCCTCTATAATGCAAGTGGGTTTTTAGCTAAAAATAGAGACACTCTTCCAACCGACATTGTGCTGCTTTTGAGGTCGTCCGAAAATAGTGTAATTCAGCAGCTAGTCAAACACCCTCTGACAAAAACAGGTAAGGTAATTTCTTTTAACTAAGATGGTTTCTGAGTCCCTGGACAGTTAAGTAGTTTCTGTCTCTATGATTTTCATGAGCATACTCCTCAATTTTTCATGCTGTTCTGTCTCTAAGTCACTGTTTTTATTAACATCCTCCACTACAGATCATCAGGAGAAAATGTAAAAGTGGATGTCACGAAACTAGGCTTTCATTAACGGAAAATTTAATGAAAATTTCATTTCATTTTGAAGCACTCACCAGAAAACATGATGGCATCTTAAGTACTCCTTAGAACAGTGTTCAGATCACTTGCAGTTTTCAGGAGTAAGCAGCCTTTGAGGTTGTGCAGATCAGTGACTCCGCCTTATTAACGAAACACTCACCTGCCTTTGCTCCACCCAACCACATACATTCTTGCATATTCTTTCAAGTAGGAAAAAAGTAGTTTGGGCTGGTTTTCTTTATTAGAGTTTAAAATTATTCTCTGCATGTATATTGTTGTTGTTAGGTGCCATAGAGTCTGCTCCAACTCATAGCAACCCTATGCAAAACAGAACAAAAGACTTCTAGGTCCAAGCTACCCTCACAATTGTTAGGCTTGAACCCATTGCTGCTGGTGCCAGTCCATCTTGTTGACTGTTTCCTCTTTTTCGCTGACCCTCCATTTTAACAAGCTTAATGTCCTTTTCCAATGACTGGTCCATCCTGAAAATAATGTCCAAAGTATGCGAGACGATGTCTCATCATCCTGGCTTCTAAGGAGCATTCTGACTATACTTCGTCCAGTACAGATTGGTTGTTCTTTTTGTAGTCCATGATACTTTTAATATTCTCCTCCAACACCATAACTCAACTGTATCAGTGCTTGTACCATCTTCCTTATTCATTGTCTAACATCCACATGAGGATATTGAAAATATCATGGCTTGGGTCACCTGCACCTTAGTCTTCAAACTGTTGTCTTTGTTTTTGAACACTTTAAAGAGGTCTTGTGCAGCAAATTTGCCTGATGAAATGTGTCATTTAATTTCTTGACTGCTTCTTCCATGAGTATTGATTGTGGATCCAAGCAAAATGAAGTTCTGACAACTTCAGTATTTTTTCCATTTGTCAT